CCCAAGGGCGAAGGCTAAGCATTAGTTTCTGAGCCCCTCGATGCTTCCTGTGGTTCTTTAGAACATGTTCCCTTTTTCCCCATGTTGTATGTTCCCAAAGGATGTGAGAGCTTATAGGTGGAGAAACGATGCCTCCTTCCAAATGTCACGAAGTCAGTTTTATGTTTTCCTAAACAGACATCAAACTATGATTCTTGTATGGATTTATCGCAGGATTTATAAATTAAATGCTGAGTCAAATCTGTAGCTCAGTTGTCTGCAAAATAAGACAAAGAGGTGCTGCCCTTAGTGCCTGTCCGAAGGTTTAAGTCAATCTCTGGGGATTGGAAGTCTGATCTCCTGTATGCCACTGCCTCTAGGCATGAACAGTGCCTCTGCGTAGATGGCAATAGGCTGCGTCCATAGGGAGCTCTGTATCCTCTGCGCATCTCCAGTTCACCTGTAAAGCTAAGCCCCCTTACTGATCTAGGAAGGATTTGCAGGGTGTAGCAGTGCCCTCACAGCCATCTCCAAAAGTGGATATCCCAGGGGAGATATTCAGAGGTAAAAATCTATGCATGCACTTCATTGTATCCTAGCAATCCTTTGCAAATCCCTCTGGACTCCTACACCACATCTCTCCTGGCACTCGCAGGTTCTCATGCACCCACCTTGTCCGTCACCTTGCGCTATTACTCCAGTGATTACTAGCGGTGTATTGGCAAACAGGGCTGGGCTGTGTGGAGTGAAGTTGGAGCGAACTAAAGTTACATCCCATGGAGTACGGATGAAGCGTATTTGAGCAGCCCTGGTCTCAGGAGGTCTGTCTTGCCAGTGAAACAGGCTGAGCTGCTGCCAGGTCTGAGCGGCTGTACTGGTAAAGCCTAGATGGATGAAATATTTCCCATAAAGGCAAAAATTATAAATGTTTCCTGGAAGAATGAAACATCTCATGATGACAGCATGGACAAGTGTTACTGCTGTATTCGTGCAGTTGGGTGTTCCCATTTGGCCCCTCTGGATGTGCCCAGCAAAATTACCTGGGGCAGACCATTTGCATTTCTGAGGCTGCTGTGATGTGTTGTCAGTGATTCATGGGGAATTCACTCCATCGTTGCTGGTGCCAGAGCTGCTGGTCCAGTTTGGTGCCTCCCTGGTGCCAACGATTCAGCTCCTGCTCCAACCAGGCATCACCTGACAAACTCGTGTGCCCAGGGCTGTGAAACCTTCAGAAGTCAGGATCCACAGTGTGAAGTGAAGCAAAACATGGGGAAGACCTATAGGGCCTGGTTCTCTCATTTGCCAAATACAGTCCCAGCTCCCAGTGTCTACAGCCCCACTTGGGAGCACACTGCACTTCTCCAAGCCAGTGCTTGTCAGCTCATTCAGGATGTGGATCTTGTTACTGAGTTTCATAGTCCAGTAAAGATTATGACTTCTCCCTATAACAGGGAAATAGCAGCTTCCCTTTTCATTGCCATTACTTTTTACAAAATGAGTGTGAGATAGGTAATCATTATAGGTAGTCATTAAGTGTGACTTATGGAAAGGATAATTGAGACACGGGCTGAGGCATTTCTGTAACATCATTTGGTCATTCATAGATGCATAGATTGTACGGGGGCTGGAAGGGACCTTGCAGATCATCGGGTCCAGTCCCCCCACTCTAGGCAGGAACACAACTGGGGTTAGGTGACCCCAGCGAGGTGACTGTCCAGTTCATTCAGGGGAAGAATTGGCTGAGGGACACGAGCACTGTTACTTTTTGTTGGTGACATTACTTATCATTAGAGTGCCTGCATTACCTTGATAATGTCACTTAAATCTGTGCCTGGTGCTCTGGGCACTGTAGAGAAGCAGAACAACAAAACAACTCTATCCTATGCGACCAACCTGAGCTAAATATGCAGGTGTATCCAGCAGCGGGAGGAAGGATTATTATCTGAGTTGTACACAAGACAGGCTGATGCGGGGGGCTTCAAAATCCATCAATAAATTAGGACCCATTCAGTACTGAGCTCTTCTAAGAAGCTGCTCCCATGCGATTTCCCAGGATAATCTGAGGCAGGGGCAGGAAGTGAATGAGAGCTTCCAGTCTCGTGCTTTAACCACCCAACCTGCCATTGTCTCCAAGTCACTGTGCCGAACTGTGATGTCTAATATGTTCTTTAACTGTTTTCTCTATTTTCTTGCCTATTTTCCATACTACAGCTGCCTAGAATTGCCCTGATAAAACATACAGGAATGCGTATACATACCCATCCATCAGATGTAGGATAATGGTGTTCAAGTGTGTTCAATCGTATCAGCCTGACTGAACGGAGTAGGTGATCTATTTCGGACACCCCCTCGTGTGTCAAAATGGAAATCCACGCCCTCTTTTTTAGTTCCTCTTACACACACACACATATTTACATTAATATATTATTTATATATATTTCTGTTTCAACTCCACTGAAGTCAGAGGAATGATACCAGGGAGGAATTTGGATTGCAAAACCTCAGACTTGAAGGGCACCTGCAAGCTGCTGCCAGCGTGTCATGCCATTTAGAGCTGAGAAATTGTCTGATCATTGGAACCAGTATGCAAAGCACTTGTTGAGGTATGACATGGCCAGGAAATGTTATTTTGCAATCAAGATTGGCCATGTGTGCTGTGGGCGTCTCGGGTGCTCCAGGCAGGCTAACGAACCGTATAAAAGTGCTCAACCCCAGCACTGCTCCATGCACTTCTCTGGACTTCTCCTCCTCGCTGAACTGAGTAAGTCTCACTTCTCTCTGGTTTCTAATTATCTGCTAAAATCTCTCTTTCGCATTGAGTTAAAACTCTCAAATACTTTGTAAGTCCTTCTACTGCTACCAGGAAGCCAGGGTTTGGTTGTGAGCATTGGTGAAGACAGGTTTTAGGAGAGTGGATCTCAACCTTTTTAGACAGAGGCACCCCTCGTTACACTAGAGACACCCCTCATTAGGCACAGACACTCGTCGGTAGACTGAAGACACCCTGCAGTTCCAAAATCATACCATATGTGCTTCAGATGCACTCTTCTGCTGTCTCTTTGATCCTTATATTAATGCTACTTGACCTTGGCTGTTTCAGGTGTAGCTCCTTTGCAGAAAGATGTCTTTCAACCGCCAGCTGCTCAGCTCCCGCTGCTACAACCCCTGTGAGGTGACCTGCCCTCAGCCATACGCCAATGCCTGGAACGAGCCCTGCGTCACGTCCTGCGGTGACTCCAGAGCCGTGGTCTACCCACCCCCAGTGGTCATCACCTTCCCAGGACCCATCCTCAGCTCCTGCCCCCAGGAGAGCTACGTGGGCACCTCAGAGCCGCTCCAGATCGGCAGCTCCTTTGTCTCCAGGGGCTCTGTTGGGTCCGGGAGCTCCTTAGGATGCCTGTCCCCTTACTATTCCCAGCGGTACAATAAGTACCGCTATGACAACTGCGGGTCCTGTTAAACCCAGCAGGAAAACCCACAGCACAGGGAACACCCCAGGAGTGGAAATGAAGACCACCATGAATGCATTGAGGGGCATGGCTTTTGGAAGATCTTGGCACTAATGGTCCAGCTGAAATCAGGGAGCTCTGAGGTCTCTGCACCTCAGAGAGTTTGGGGGCAGTGGTTGGCTAAAGCCCTTGCAAAATCATGATGACCTTCCCATGCATGATTATGTTCTGTAAATGCCACTTCTTCTTCCCATTAAAGATTGTACGACATGGCATTCTCAGTGTCCTGGGCTTCTCTTCCCTTTGGTGCTTGAAATAGAAATAGAAATCTCTGTGGAAATCAGCCTAAAGTCCTGGCAAAACGCTGCATTTTACTTACATGACCCATATTGCAGTGATGATACTCTCGGGTGGGAATGTGCAGCATTCATTAGGGCAGATGTGGCAGGTAGTTACCCTGGGATTCACTCGCAGGTTCTCATGCACCCACCTTGTCCGTCACCTTGCGCTATTACTCCAGTGATTACTAGCGGTGTATTGGCAAACAGGGCTGGGCTGTGTGGAGTGAAGTTGGAGCGAACTAAAGTTACATCCCATGGAGTACGGATGAAGCGTATTTGAGCAGCCCTGGTCTCAGGAGGTCTGTCTTGCCAGTGAAACAGGCTGAGCTGCTGCCAGGTCTGAGCGGCTGTACTGGTAAAGCCTAGATGGATGAAATATTTCCCATAAAGGCAAAAATTATAAATGTTTCCTGGAAGAATGAAACATCTCATGATGACAGCATGGACAAGTGTTACTGCTGTATTCGTGCAGTTGGGTGTTCCCATTTGGCCCCTCTGGATGTGCCCAGCAAAATTACCTGGGGCAGACCATTTGCATTTCTGAGGCTGCTGTGATGTGTTGTCAGTGATTCATGGGGAATTCACTCCATCGTTGCTGGTGCCAGAGCTGCTGGTCCAGTTTGGTGCCTCCCTGGTGCCAACGATTCAGCTCCTGCTCCAACCAGGCATCACCTGACAAACTCGTGTGCCCAGGGCTGTGAAACCTTCAGAAGTCAGGATCCACAGTGTGAAGTGAAGCAAAACATGGGGAAGACCTATAGGGCCTGGTTCTCTCATTTGCCAAATACAGTCCCAGCTCCCAGTGTCTACAGCCCCACTTGGGAGCACACTGCACTTCTCCAAGCCAGTGCTTGTCAGCTCATTCAGGATGTGGATCTTGTTACTGAGTTTCATAGTCCAGTAAAGATTATGACTTCTCCCTATAACAGGGAAATAGCAGCTTCCCTTTTCATTGCCATTACTTTTTACAAAATGAGTGTGAGATAGGTAATCATTATAGGTAGTCATTAAGTGTGACTTATGGAAAGGATAATTGAGACACGGGCTGAGGCATTTCTGTAACATCATTTGGTCATTCATAGATGCATAGATTGTACGGGGGCTGGAAGGGACCTTGCAGATCATCGGGTCCAGTCCCCCCACTCTAGGCAGGAACACAACTGGGGTTAGGTGACCCCAGCGAGGTGACTGTCCAGTTCATTCAGGGGAAGAATTGGCTGAGGGACACGAGCACTGTTACTTTTTGTTGGTGACATTACTTATCATTAGAGTGCCTGCATTACCTTGATAATGTCACTTAAATCTGTGCCTGGTGCTCTGGGCACTGTAGAGAAGCAGAACAACAAAACAACTCTATCCTATGCGACCAACCTGAGCTAAATATGCAGGTGTATCCAGCAGCGGGAGGAAGGATTATTATCTGAGTTGTACACAAGACAGGCTGATGCGGGGGGCTTCAAAATCCATCAATAAATTAGGACCCATTCAGTACTGAGCTCTTCTAAGAAGCTGCTCCCATGCGATTTCCCAGGATAATCTGAGGCAGGGGCAGGAAGTGAATGAGAGCTTCCAGTCTCGTGCTTTAACCACCCAACCTGCCATTGTCTCCAAGTCACTGTGCCGAACTGTGATGTCTAATATGTTCTTTAACTGTTTTCTCTATTTTCTTGCCTATTTTCCATACTACAGCTGCCTAGAATTGCCCTGATAAAACATACAGGAATGCGTATACATACCCATCCATCAGATGTAGGATAATGGTGTTCAAGTGTGTTCAATCGTATCAGCCTGACTGAACGGAGTAGGTGATCTATTTCGGACACCCCCTCGTGTGTCAAAATGGAAATCCACGCCCTCTTTTTTAGTTCCTCTTACACACACACACATATTTACATTAATATATTATTTATATATATTTCTGTTTCAACTCCACTGAAGTCAGAGGAATGATACCAGGGAGGAATTTGGATTGCAAAACCTCAGACTTGAAGGGCACCTGCAAGCTGCTGCCAGCGTGTCATGCCATTTAGAGCTGAGAAATTGTCTGATCATTGGAACCAGTATGCAAAGCACTTGTTGAGGTATGACATGGCCAGGAAATGTTATTTTGCAATCAAGATTGGCCATGTGTGCTGTGGGCGTCTCGGGTGCTCCAGGCAGGCTAACGAACCGTATAAAAGTGCTCAACCCCAGCACTGCTCCATGCACTTCTCTGGACTTCTCCTCCTCGCTGAACTGAGTAAGTCTCACTTCTCTCTGGTTTCTAATTATCTGCTAAAATCTCTCTTTCGCATTGAGTTAAAACTCTCAAATACTTTGTAAGTCCTTCTACTGCTACCAGGAAGCCAGGGTTTGGTTGTGAGCATTGGTGAAGACAGGTTTTAGGAGAGTGGATCTCAACCTTTTTAGACAGAGGCACCCCTCGTTACACTAGAGACACCCCTCATTAGGCACAGACACTCGTCGGTAGACTGAAGACACCCTGCAGTTCCAAAATCATACCATATGTGCTTCAGATGCACTCTTCTGCTGTCTCTTTGATCCTTATATTAATGCTACTTGACCTTGGCTGTTTCAGGTGTAGCTCCTTTGCAGAAAGATGTCTTTCAACCGCCAGCTGCTCAGCTCCCGCTGCTACAACCCCTGTGAGGTGACCTGCCCTCAGCCATACGCCAATGCCTGGAACGAGCCCTGCGTCACGTCCTGCGGTGACTCCAGAGCCGTGGTCTACCCACCCCCAGTGGTCATCACCTTCCCAGGACCCATCCTCAGCTCCTGCCCCCAGGAGAGCTACGTGGGCACCTCAGAGCCGCTCCAGATCGGCAGCTCCTTTGTCTCCAGGGGCTCTGTTGGGTCCGGGAGCTCCTTAGGATGCCTGTCCCCTTACTATTCCCAGCGGTACAATAAGTACCGCTATGACAACTGCGGGTCCTGTTAAACCCAACAGGAAAACCCAAAGCACAGGGAACGACCCATGGCACAGGTTACAGGATGTGAGTGGAAACCGACAGCACAGGGAATTACGCGGAGTGGAAACCAAGACCACCATGAATACATCAAGGGGCATGGCTTTCGGAAGATCTTGGCACCAATGTTCCCACTGAAATCAGGGAGCTCTGAGCTCTCTGCACCTCTGAGAGCTTTGGGGCAGGTGTTGGCTAAAGTCCTTCCCAATACCTTCTCTGCATGATTATGTCCTGTTAATGTAACTTCTTATTCTCATTAAAAACTGTGCTGCATGGCATTCTCAGTCTCCTGGCCTCTTCCCTTTGGTGCTTGTAATACAAATCTCTGGGTATATAGTCACCTTGGCAAAGGCTGCATACAAGTTCAGTGCACCACAAAAGGTCTTGCAATGACAGGAGTGTCTGAGCCCTTACGTCAGAGCTTTCCAAACTGTGTGCCGCGACACATTAGTGTGTCGGTGGCAGTGTGTAGGTGTGTCGTGCGAAATGCAGAAAATTTTGCGGAAGGGCACCGCGGAGCTCCCTTACTCGCATCTGCTTCCCTTGGCCCCTCCCCCGGAACTTAATTACTGTGTCGCGAAATGATGCACGTCTAAAAAGTGTGTCACCAACATGAAAAGTTTGGAAAGCTCTGCCTTACGTAATAAGTATCAGCCTGAAGTCCTGGCACAACACTGTATTTCACGTACATGACTCATATTGCAGTGATGATACTCTTGTTTGGGAATGTGCAGCATTCATGAGGGCAGATGTGGCAGGTGGTTACCCTGGGATTCACTGTCATGATACTGCGCTAGCAATATGAAGAAGCAGGGGTAAAGACTTCTGGCTGTCCTACAAGCCTGGCAGGACCCCAGGACCCACCCTCGCTCCACTTCTGGCCTGACATTTGTACTGCCATGTCCCCTCATTTGTACATTTGCTACGTGTCCGCTGTAGCAAGTTCCCAGAGCTGTTCTGTCCTAGCGTATTTCCCAGGGGTTTGTTGCTGAGAGCAGGCAGGGGTCAGGTTGTGGCTAGCATGTTGTGGCGGAAAACAACTCTGGTCTCAATTTCTGGGGTTGTAGCAGTCTATGCAGCACCACCCACAGTGCCCTGGGGGGCATTAGTATCATCCAAGTGGTGGACAAAGAGCTGAAGGAAGCACAGCTTGTTGCTTAAGACCATCTATCTCACCCTTGGCCATGTGAGGAGTGGGGTAGATGGTGCAGAGAAGAGAAGTTCTTGTAGCAACTGGAGGCTGGATAAGGGAGGAGGAGGAATGGGATCCCCAGAGCCCCCCTCTCCACATTGCAGGCATTGGGCCTTGCTTTCAGATGTGCCATTTAATGTACAGGGCAGCTATAGGTTACTATACACTGGAGGCATGTTTCTGAGATGGTGGTAAACCTCTATGCTAGGACCAGGAAGAAAATGAGGGCAAGGTCAAATGAGGATGAAGGAAAAGGTTCAGCTACTGTGCTAATGGGAGCTGTTGAGCAGACCAACGATCTCAGTGGGAAAATTGGGTATCGGTACAAAAGGGAATTTGGCTTTTGGCCCTTATGTCTCTGCTTCAGTGTCCTCCTCGTCTCATTTCTGCATTCAGCCCAAATCCCTCTTTGAACTCTTCATCTTCTTTATTCAGACCCCACCTGCTCTCCCTGTTTCCTTGGGTGCTGCCCATGGCATTTGCTAGATATTGCTACAGACAGACAGAGATGGAGGTAGAACACAAGCTTTCCTGGGCTGAAGCTGCCATCACCAGATGCTGCAAAAGGACCTGAGATGAAGCCGGCATTGGGAAGAGGCAGGCAGGCTCCTGGCCCGCCAGAGGTGGTTGCACCAAGGTCCAGCCACTTTCTTCTGCCCTGAACTCCAGAAGGCAGGCAGTGACCTGGGGGCAGGCATTCCCCCAGTACCTTTGTTGGGCTTGCACTCAGCCAAAGAAGAGCCGTGAGCAGAAGCTGGCGCTCTGCAGCAGGTTGGGCTTCTCCCTACCCCTCCACACCAGGCTCCAGGCATAGGGGACCAGTTGCTCCTGGGTCACCACTGCCATAGCCCTCCCCAGTCCTGCTGCTCTGCCCAGGCCTTTACATCTCAGCCCAGGGGATGGTGGTGGGACCTGGAGAGGTGGGTGTATACATTGCCCACTCCCAAGGCCACCTTCACCATGCTCTGTAGCATGACTGCACTTGTGTGAACTCCTGGGACCTTACTAGAGTGGACACTTAGTGAATGGACAAGAGAGGGGACACAGCAGGAAGAGTGTCAGGGCAGAAGTGGAGTGAGGGTGGGTCCTGGGGTCCTGCCAGGCTTGTAGGACTGCATAAAGTCTTTAGCCCCTGCTTCTTCACATTTTAGTTCAAAGTGATGACAGTGAATCCCATGCTAACCCCCCCCCCTCCCGCCCCACCTGATCTGCCTTCATGAATGCTGCAATGTCCCATGCAAAAGTATCATCACTGCAATATGGGTTACATAAGTAAAATGCAGTTTTATGCCAAGCATCTCAGGCTGCTACTGACTATGTAAGTGCTTAGACTCTCCTCTCATTGCAAGACCTAGTGTGGTACACAGACCGTATACCCAGCCTCTGCCAGGGCAATAATTTCACCTGAACATGTAAGGGCTCAGACTCCCTTCTCATTGCAAGACCTTTTGTGGTTAACAGAACTTGTACTCAGCCTTTCCCAAAGTGATCATTTCCCCAGAGAGTAGTATTTCAAGCACCAAAGGGAAGAGAAGGCCAGGACAGTGAGAATGTCATGCAGCACAATCTTCAATGGGAATAAGAAGTGGCATTTACAGAACATAATCATGCATGGGCAGGGCATCATGTTTTGGGAAGGGCTTTAGCCAACAATTCCCCAAAACTCTGTGAGCTGCAGAGAGCTCAGAGCTCCCTGATTGCATCTGGACCATTGGTGCTGAGAGCTTCTGAAAGCCAACACTTCGATGCATTCATGGTGGTCTTGGTTTCCACTTCTGGCGTGTTCCCTGTGCGGTGGATTTTCCTGTGGGGTTAAAAGGACCCACAGTTGCCATAGCAGTATGCATCATGTATACTAGGCCATACACTTCTATTCCTCCTTCATATGCTGAAGCTGTTTAAAGCACTAAGAAAATGAATCTTGATTCCTGCCCACTCAAAACCAAAAAGCATAATTCCAGGAAGCAATTTAGGCCATCAAGTTTTTAAAATCAAAGAAAGCCTGGAGGGTGTAATGAGCTTGTCATGGTATTAAAAGGATGATAACTTAATGCTTATAAGGATTAGCTGGAAAAGCAATTACATTGCAACACCTGGATGAATTACACATGCAGCACGTTTGGTTTAGTAATGCCCTTAGGCCTTTAGGCTCAAATGGTGTCTCAATAGCCTTGTGGTTGTCTCAAAGAGTATTTGAAAGTGTTAGCCACTCAGCTCTTTTTTAAGTGCTTCTGTTCTCCTCTGTGGGGTGGGTGCACTTGATTTAACTTCACTCTTGTTGAGGTGTCACATTTCATCTTAAACTTGCATCTGGTATCAATGCTCATTTGGGAAAAGAGGGGCTTTTTCATAAGAGTCTTTTCCAGATCATATCCTGCCCTTAGGGGTTTGGTTGGAAGATACCTAAAGGTTGCTATTCCAGGAAGCTTTGCATGCTACTTTTACAAATCAAAGCACCAACTCAGTTATATGCTTGGATTAAATCTTTGCTAGGAAACTGGCATTAGCACATTTTCATCCGATAAAATCTAGGGTCCTACAGAACAGACAGGTGAGGAGACAATGTCAGACTGTACAATGCAGGAGAAGGAACTGCCTAATGGATGGGCTTTTGGAGAGAATAGTTGACCTTGTAATTAAATCATGGTTTGTGATCAGTAAAATAGGTCCAGTTTAGGCCATACATCCAGGTTCTTAGGCTCAGCCCCATTCAAGCAATGCTTCTTGTGACAGAAAAAAAGGCAGAGCAATGAAGCTTTGCAGGAAGAATGAGATCAGCATCAAGAATGCATGAGCCAGGTCCTGGGTAATTTGGATGCGCAGGTCAGGACAGGTGGAGATGGACCACACCTGATAAGCGATACCTGCTGCATTCATCTCATCAGAGCCACTGTGTCAGGGTGAACTTGATCCTGTCATCCCGCTCCACTGCGAACACTCATAGACATGACCAAACCCAGAGTGGGGGGTGTCCCCAGTGGGCGATCTTGTGATCTCGGGAGGGGGTTCCCCCATGGGTGATCATGCAGTCTGGGGGGGGCGATCCTGCCAACCAGGGGGTAACTGCTGCGGGATATCCTGCGGACAAGGGGGGAGTCCCCTGGGTGATCCCATGGCAGCTGATCACTCTGGGCAAACTCTGCGCTCGCTGCAGCCACTTTGGGGAATGGCTGCGGCTGCTTCTGGGAGCAAGTGCCAGCCGATTGCTGTAACCACTCCCAGAAGTGGACGCAGCCAGTCCCGAAAGTGGCTGCAACAACCGCAGCAATTGGCCAGCACATGCCGGGCGGTCACTGCAATTCCTGCCTGTGCCCCTGCCCATCACCTAAGCGGTGAAATTGGCTGTCAGGGGGTGCACCGGGGCTCTCAGAGGGTGCACGTGCCCCTTCCCCGTGCCCCCTCTATGCATCGTCACTGCCAGCAAGGCTTTTTCTAGCTGGGTCTTAAACACCTCCAAGAATGGAGCCTCCACCACCTCTCTAGGTATCCTATTCCAGTGCTTCACCACCCATCTAGTGAGAAAAGTTTGCTAATATCTAACATTTTTTCCTTGCTACAACGTGAGCCCTTTGCTCCTTGCTCTGTCATCTGCCACCGCTGAGAACGGTCCAGCTCCATCCTCTTTGCAACCCCCCTGCAGGGAGCTGAAAGCTGCTGTTAAATCCTTTCCTGGTCTTCTCTTCTCCAGACTAAATCAGCCAGGGTAGGTGTGGAGATCTGGTGCTGAGGGGTTAGGTAGGGTGAGACACGTGTCTGGGACAAAGCGCCGGCTGATCACTGCAGCCGCTCCCAGAAGTGTACTGCAGAGAGTGCAGCGATCGGCTAGCACTTGCAGGGGGGGCACCGTCGTTCCTGCCAGCCCCCACTCCCATTGCCTAAGCGGTGAACTTGGCCATCAGGGGGTGCACTGACACTCTCAGGGGGTGCACCCCCTACACATCGCCACTGCCAGCCCAAGCTTTGTTTAGCTGGGTCTTAAACACCTCTAAGGATGGAGACATCCATCACCTCTTTAGGTAACCTATTCGACTGCTTCACCACCCTCCTAGTGAGAAAAATGTTGCTAATAATAATAATCTTTCCTTGCTACAACTTGAGCCCTTTTCTCCTTGTTCTGTCATCTGCCACCACTGAGAACAGTCCAGCTCCATCATCTTTGCAACCCCACTTCAGGGAGTTGAAAGCTGCTATTAAATCCCTTGTCGGCCTTCTCTTCTCCAGACTAAATCAGTCTGGTTCCCCCAGTCTCTCATCACAAGTCATATGCTACAGCTCTCGATCCATTTTCGTTGCCCTCCACTGAACTCTTTCCAACTCCTTTCTGTAGTGGGGGGCCCAAAACTGGACACAGGACTCCAGATGTGGCCTCGCCAGTGCTGAATAGAAGGGAATAATCACTTCCCTTCAACTACTGGCAATGCTCCTACCAGTACAGCTCACGAAGCTGTTAGCCTTCTTGACAACAAGGGCACACTGCTGGCTCCCATCTGTCTTTTTGTCCCCTGTCACCCCCAGGCCCTTTTCTGCAGAGCTGCTCCCCAGCCAGTCAGCCCCCGGCCTGTACCGGTGCTTGGGATTGTCCTGTCCTAAGTGCAGGACTTGGCACGTGTCCTTGTTGAACCTCATGAGATTTGTTTTGGTCCAAACCCTCAATTTGTCTTGCATTTGCATGCTCTCAAGCATGACTGTACTTGTGCTTAGGAGCCAAGAGATTCACCACTCAGGTCATTTTGGCTGTACTGTACCACCAGAGCACAAAAATTCACCCAGCCCCTTTCCACAGCCGATCCCCATGCAGGGTCCCACAACTGTAGGTTTACCAGGACCTCTCTGGAGCCCCTGTACAGAGGTCAGCCTGCACTGGGGTGGGTGGCCTGGGGTGGGGAGGGGGATTTCAAGGCTATGTGTGGAGATGAGGTGCTGGGGGCTTAAGCGGGGGCTGGAAGAACAGGGGGCAGTTTCCCTCCAGACCTTTCTTCTCCACCTTGCTAGTGCAATGTCAGCCAGCAGAGGTGACAGTGACAATGAGGCTGATGATCCCTGTGCAAGGAATCACTCTCAAAGAGTGAGACATGTATGAAAATCACCGCTGTAGTGGGAACCTGCAGGCTGCTGTGGGCCAAATAAGAGGCCAGTTTCATGTTTTTAATGGGCCTGAGTAGGGCATTAGTTGTATATCATTAAGCCCCCTCTCACAAGGGGAAAATATAACTCTGAGAGATATTTAATTTATAAGTGGAGGAGAAAGTCAAACCAGATATATGGATTAGGATGCAGCACGATCTTTATTGGGAACAAGAAATGGAGCTGAGAGCACATAATCATACAGAGAATAAAGATTTTGCTTCCAAAGTTTGGAGAAGGGCCAAAATCGCTTGCCCACCCCAAATGGGCAGTATTTCCCCACGAGGTTCTCCTCCTAGTTGCTGCTGTGGACGCTGATGAGCAAGTCCTGTTTTCAGCCGTTCATGAGATGCTTTCAGTTTCTTCCAGATGCTATCAAATCGCAGAGACAACAGCCTACAGAGAGGGACAGAGCAACACTCCCAATACATTTCAGGTGTGGTAGTTTTTAATAACCAGAAACCACAGGCAGTTGTTCCTGGAAAGGCGGCACATGGGGCAGGATGAGTGGATATTGTCCGAAATCTAATGGAGAAATCTGGGCCTGTTTGTTCAGAGATGCTGAGCACCTCCATGTCTCCCAGGTTTCTGTAAGACCCGGTGCACCCTGCCTTTCTGAAAACCATGTCCTGTATTTATGACTATATTGCTTTCCACTCCTGGGGTGTTCCCTGTGCTGTGGGTTTTCCTGCTGGGTTTAACAGGACCCGCAGTTGTCATAGCGGTACTTATTGTACCGCTGGGAATAGTAAGGGGACAGGCATCCTAAGGAGCTCCCGGACCCAACAGAGCCCCTGGAGACAAAGGAGCTGCCGATCTGGAGTGGCTCTGAGGTGCCCACGTAGCTCTCCTGGGGGCAGGAGCTGAGGATGGGTCCTGGGAAGGTGATGACCACTGGAGGTGGGTAGACCACGGCTCTGGAGTCACCGCAGGACGTGACGCAGGGCTCGTTCCAGGCATTGGCGTATGGCTGAGGGCAGGTCACCTCGCAGGGGTTGAAGCAGCGGGAGCTGAGCAGCTGGCGGGTGAAGGACATCTTTCTGCAATTCAGCTGCACCTGGAAAAGACAGGATAAATGCAATGCTCAAGAAAGAGTGCAGTAGCAGCCCGCAAGAGTCCTGCATGGAAGTCTAGATGGACCGGAAGAGAGAGATTTTGGCATTGCAGGCATTTCTTTTGACCCTCACCTCGCTCTTTCTTTGATGACTTGAAAATTGTGTACCAAGGCCACCTAATAGTGATGAACCTGCTTCACGCTCTGCTGCCCCATATAGCCCAATCTCCTGAAAACAAGTGCCGGTGCATGTGCTGCTATGAGTGCAGATACTAAGACACAGACAGGCATCAATTGGTTCAGGATCACTTGGGGACTACAGCAAAGAGCAAGGACCAGAAGTTTCAGTGTTGCTGGCCTGCAGTGCGGAGAATGGGCATCCCATGGACTCATCTTTAATAAGCCTAAAACAACAGTTAGTTTCCTGCAGCTGATCTCTATATGTGAAATAATTGAAGCCCTTCCCATTTGGTGGAGATGAAGACACTCTCCTCAAATCAGCTCTTAAATGAGCCATATGAAACTATAGCTTTCCTTTATGATATCCTATTGTATTTGAGCTGATGTTGTTTTTTTTTTAGTAGAATTGTTTGGTACATATTTGGAAGCTTTCCCTATTCTGCATTATCAATATCCATCTCATTTTATTGGAACTTAACCCATAAGTTCTAAAACCCGCACCCATCGATGCCTGGGGGTGGAAATGGCTAAAATGATCTCCTGTGAAAACAACAGAAAAGCTCCCAGAGTATCAATGCGAGGCTCCGTTTTGAAGTTCCTACAGAAAAGTCTTACAAATTTGAAAAATATAGAGTGAAAATAGACTTACTTGGTTCACCCAGGAGGAGAAACGCAGGAGAGTGATTAGAAGAGCTCTGAGCTGCAAGTGCTTTTATATGTTGCCTTGTACTGCCTGGAGCCACTGAGACATCCTTTATGTGCATGGGCCTTTCATCACACGAGAAAAATACCTTGCATGTGTCACTCCCTGACCTCAGGCAAGCTTTGCATGCTGTTTTGATTATTGGGCAATTTGCAGACACAAAAGACATGACATGAATGTGACAAAGACTGTAGGAGGCTTTCAACCGAAACCTGTTTTAGCCAAAGTGATCTCCAATATCATTCCCCTGTCTTCAGCCATGGTACAGTAGCAAAGAGTCGAATACTTGGTGAGTTATTTTAAAAACGAATTCAACGCAGAATAGTCGCATCATTAGAAAGAAATCTAGGCCTCTCATCCTCCAAAGACTTGTGTCCCTTTGTTTCACGCAGCTGTGTTGCACATTGGGGTTACATGAAGTTCCTCACTTCACTTAAACTCAGTGCCACTATAAACCCTTGCTATATGAAACCTCAGGTTTGTGTAGGTAAGAACAAACCTGCTGCCAAATCTTTCAAGAAGCAAGAGTTAGGGTCCCTATTCCTACTTCATTGCTTTCCCAAGTGCATAGTGCTAAGCAATAGTTTCTGAGGCCCTCGATGATTCCTGTGGTTCTTTTGAACATGTTCCCCTTTTCCTCGTGTTGCATGTTCCCCAAAGATGTGAGAGCTTGCAGTCTGAGAACAGTTGCTTCCTTCAAATTGTCACGAGGGGATTTTTATTACATTTTCCTGACAAGGGGCGGGCCTTAGTGCCTGTCAGAAGGGGTAAATCAATCTCTGGGGATTGAAAGAATGATCTCCTGTATGCCTCTGCCTCGCAGCCTGAATGGTGCCGCTGGGTAGCTGGCAGTACGCCGTGTCCATAGGGAGCTCTGTGTCCACAGCGCGTCTCCAGTTCACCCGTCAACTGTCCCCTTACTATTCCCAGCAGTACAATAAGTACCGCTATGGCAACTGCGGGTCCTGTTAAACCCAGCAGGAAAACCCACAGCACAGGGAACACCCCAGGAGTGGAAATGAAGACCACCATGAATGCATTGAGGGGCATGGCTTTTGGAAGAGCTTGGCACCAATGGTCCAGCTGAAATCAGGGAGCTCTGAGGTCTCTGCACCTCGGAGAGTTTGGGGGCGGTGGTTGGCTAAAGCCCTTGCAAAATCATGATGACCTTCCCATGCATGACTATGTTCTGTAAATGCCACTTCTTCTTCCCATTAAAGATTGTACGGCATGGCATTCTCAGTGTCCTGTGCTTCTCTTCCCTTTGGTGCTTGAAATAGAAATAGAAATCTCTGTGGAAATCAGCCTAAAGTCCTGGAAAAACACTGCATTTTACTTACATGACCCATATTGCAGTGATGATACTCTCAGGTGGGAATGTGCAGCATTCATTAGGGCAGATGTGGCAGGTAGTTACCCTGGGATTCACTGTCACTACATTGCACTACAATGTGAAGAACCAGGGGCTAAAGACTTTGTGCTGTCCTGCAAGCCTGACAGAGCCCAAAGACCCACCCTCACTCCACTTCTGCCCTGACATCCTTCCTGCCACATCCCCTGCTTTGTCCATTTGCTACGTGTCCACCCTAGCAAGTTCCCAGGACCTGTTCTGTCCTAGCACATTTCCCAGAGGTATCCTGCTAAGAGCAGGAAGGGCTCAGGTTGTGGCTATCATCTTGTGGCAGAAAACTACTCCTGTCTCAGTTTCCTGGGCTGCAGCAGTCTCTGCAGTACCACCCACAGTGTGCTGGGGGACTTCAGTATCATCCAAATGGTGGAAAAGCAGCGGTAGGAAGCATTGCTGGTTGGTT